TCTCTCTCTCTCTCTTTCTGTATGTTAACATTTAAAAAACAATTTTAATTCATTCCATTTGCGAACATTAACATGTTTGTTTCTTTTTTACAAACTTTAAAATAATATTTACATTTTCTGTTGTAACATTATAAAAGTCATTAATGCGCCACTTAGTTTATATGTATTTTTTGTACATGCATTTTTGAAATCGTAATTTTCGTATAATTTAATTATTTATATCGTTTAGGACCATATTTCATAATGTTAAACGAAAATAAAAAACACATTGTGCATTTTTAACTACAGTAGCAATTTTGGTTGAGTAACAACACAGTTTCATTTTTTACGCGCGCTGGGAACTATACATTTTTATATCCATTAGAATATTGCATATTATATCCAATAATTATTGTAAATTATGTATTATCATAACACCGCTTCGTATAAACGATTGGTATGCGAGTGGAGATGATAAGAACTGTGTACTTTCTCCGATAGTTATTAAATCCAAGCTTCCCCTTCACATTTAATCCACATACTGCGAGTAATTGATTATATTGTTTAATTAACCGATTTTTGTAAATAATTAAACGATGTTCTACGTTCATATAATTGTTTGCGGAACGAGAGAATGATAAAGAATGACGAAGAAATGATTTCAATGTTCAACCGATCGATCTATAACGCTTTCTGTTAAAAAAATGAAATAAAATAACAACAAATAATTAACATCGTAGTCGATTCGGTGATGCAAATGAGAGAAAATATTTTGTTCGATTCCACTGCAATTTTAAACGTATTCCCATTAGCCATAGTAAAAAATTCAAATTACTCTGGTCACTCACACAAACACACACACACACACACACACCAACGTTTGAGTTCTTCGCGTAAATCGTTTCTATTCTTAAACACATCGTTTATCGGGAAACTCATTTTTACCGTCACGACCCTATTGTCAGTGTATATCGTAATGTTGACAGTATACGGAGACAGTACTTTTCTATTTTACCATCGTACATAAACTCACACACGCACATATTTTATCTCGTAGTGATGAAGTTATTTGCATATTGTACTTACACGTCGACCATTGTCAAGTACGGATTGCTTTAAAACTTGGTAAATAAAAAGAAGAAGACTCACAATTTTTAAATATCCATTATGTTTATATTTCAGACACATGTCAATATCACGAATTTTAAAAATGTCACCATTGACCGGGGGTGTGTATATACACCGATAGTATTTATTTATTTCATTCATTTCTTCTAATTCACATTTTCGCAATTTATATTACTCCCTTATCTTAATCCTATCTTCCTATTATCTTAATAATAATACATCATAACTTAACGAGTCGTAGTTATAAACCTGTTTAACAAATATATCGTTCATTGTTGTATTTCTCAATTCGTTGTTTGATTGATATTTATTTTTATAATTTACGTATGGATAATTCTAATTATTATTAACTTTGAAATTCAAGAATAAAAATTGAAACAACAAAATATTATACTCGAAATTCAGTAACGTTATACCATTTTGTACATTTATTATAAAGAAAAAATGGTTTCAAAAATCGTCGATTTACCGTTTAACTTTACATCGAATTCGACGTATATAGATGTATTTTGTTCATGTAATATGTTTTACTGGAATCATTTCAAAAGGTGCTGTCTACAGACAAGAGATTTTGAGATTGAATCTCATTACACTATTACGATGAAATAGTTTCCAAAACAATCAAATGAACTCTTCTAATTTACGTAATACTCTCACCTCGAGGTCCGTATTGGCAGCACGGCCACTTTTGAATAATAGTACCAAACCTTGACAGTATTTTGTACTTTTTTTTTTGTACAATTTTATACAACCAAATTAAAATTATGTATATCCCCCCCCTAAACCAAAGAAAACCCGATTCTTATATGGTCATCACATTTTATATTGTGCCTAATACCTATAATAGCCACAATGCTGTACAGTTATACCGTAATACTAAAATAATGTGACATAAGTTAATAATAAATTAATAATAGTTATCAATAAACCGAGTTTTACTTTCCCCTACACTATACCTCTCTAGAGTAAATGGTGGATTAAATGTAAATGAAAATAAATAAAAATAGAAAAATCCCAATTTATGGTTTGGTGCATGTAGCTTATATTATTTGACTAGATGCTTATTTTATACACGGACATTTCCGAAAATGCAAATAAATATTATATTTT